TCCTGGTTCTCAGCCTATATGGTGGGGGGGGGGGTGTCGTTCTTTGTTTATCTTCCCATATACTGTCAGGGAGCTCAAAGAAGGGTTTCCAATAGATGGCCTCTCTCTGGCTTCTTCCTGCCAACATGTATGATGTTTTCATGAAGATTAGAACTTGCCAGCATGCGAGCCAGACATTCCTCGCCCTGCAGATAAATAGGGAGCCATGGCGGCCTGCCATCTGTTGAGGCCGGGCCGCTTCCGGGGTGGACGTGTGGAACGGGGCTCAGGATCTGCGTGTGCCTGAAGATCCCACCTGTGTTGGGACTATGTTCCAGAATTAAGGGATTGAGAATGGAAATGGAGATCTCACAGAGGAGCTCTGTGCAGAACGGGGGTCTCCCCGAGCCTGCAGATCACACACTCCTTACACAATTCAGTTACGCTAAAGATAGGACATCAGTCAGTCAATACCCCAATAACAAACACGCTAGACAAAATGTACTTTTCATTAATTCTTTATTATAAAAATATAAAACAGAGAGTGTTAAAAGTCAAACATTTCTGTAGCTCCTACAAGAGCTAGAAGCTCAAAGAATGTGTGTGCACACATAGAAACAGACGTCGTCAACAGTACAATCATTGGTTAAATTGCGCCTTAATCAAGGCGGCAATGATTTCTTCCCATGTTAAGCAGTCTATACAGAAATGCCAACGATAACAGCGACATTAGTAAAACTTGCCATGAAAACTTGGTGTGAATCTTACTATAGCATGTAGAACTAAAATACACAGGACTAGTGATGATGGGAGTGATGGAGAATCTACACAACCGGACAGTGACTCACAACGCTTAACACTGGGAACAGAAGGGTAAAACTTTTAGTTTAATGGAAAAAAAAATATTTTTTCTCTAATGAATAAGTGCTTGCTCTTTAGTAGAAAGTTATAAAAAGGGTGAGGTACCATTAAAAAAATAAAATTATTATAAGGAGTCTTCAAATCAGTACAGACCTGACATCATAAATACTTTTTTTTATAATAAAAATCTATACCATATGTAACCCATCTGTTCATTTTATGGAGCTCATCATTAATGATGCATGAATTTATTTATTTTTTAAAATCTTCATTCAGCTTATTAACCAAATACTTGTATGAATAAATTAGCACTAAGAATGTCTATAGATTATCGAGCACATACAGTAGGGGTTCAGAAACCAAAACATAAATAAATATTTACCATTTGCACTGTGAACAGACAAGTTCACGCACATATATACTACATCCTCGATATTTCGAAATCATTTTTAAATAGCTGATATGAACATTGCTGACAAATACCTCAGAGGCAAGGAGGAGGTGGCGTTGTTCTAATAAAGCCTGCGTTACGGTACCATTGTCCTCGCTGGTGATAGTGGACACTATACGGTTAGGTACGGGGAATGAACATTGAAAGCTTAATGGAAGCACAAACATAATGCTGAGCTTAGGAAAGTCACTTATAATGTCGCCGCAAGCGTCTATGGTCAGGCTCTTCTTGAAGGAGCGGCCCCGCTGGGCGGCCGCGGCATTTACGCATGTCCGGTGTGCGGCTTTTGGTTCTGTCCTTTACGGCAGCGTTTGGCCGACCTTAGAAGCAAAGGGAGTCGGTGAGCCGAAACGGAAAGGTATCGCTTTAGATCTGAGCGCTGCCGCTGTGCCGCCGCCACTAGAGCGTCACGGTGCGGCCGTAGAGTTGGGTGGCACCCTACGGGTGGCGAGGGGGGTGGGCTGGGGGCTCAGGGGTGCCGGGGGCTTTTTTTTGTGGGTCAGGCTTCCTCTGTACCAGGTGCAGTGTCCCTCCTTTTGCTGGATACAGGCAAAGTGACGGAATTGGTGTCCGGGGAATTCGGAGTGGGAAAGCCTGTCCGTCCACAAGCATTCGCTCTTGGAAGTCAGAAAGCAGGGCGGGTAGTGGCAGGCTTTAATCTACAAACACACAAGCAACACAGCGGGTGAAGCCTCAGACAGACAGGAAGCAGTATTATTAACACAGAAAGAGAGAGAGACAGAGAGACGCTCAGCACAGGTTCAGGGTGACCGAAGCCATGCACTGAGCCTTGCAATCAGCCCGCAGAGACCTGCATCATCAGGCACTCATTCACAAAGACGTGCATCCCTTCACTCGATACGGAGCTAGATCTCTAAGCGGCGTGTCACATTTCAAACTTCTGTATCTCTCTGCCACTACAACACCATGTCACGGAAATCCGTTAAAATGTTTTTTCTGCAGATAAGCCGTTGTCGCTGACAGAAAGTGATAATTACAGCAATTCTTTGAGAGAATTGACTGGAGTTTCCTTTTAGCTCTTAGAGCATTTGAACTAAATTCTCTCTCCAGTTACAGTAAGTGTATCTGTGTGCAGTACAACTCTGCATGCATTATAAAAACCATGAAGGTGTGGGAGACATTCACAATGTACAGCTGGTGTGTAATTAAGCGTTAGGAAAACATCACAGGAATCAGGAAGAGCTGCAAAGAGCAGGAATACAACGGATGCAGTACGTGTGTGATCCGGAAATATCACAACCGCCTGCCTAGACTGGAGAGTGAAAGGACAGGGAACGAGGAGAAAGGCGTTTCATGTACAGCCAGCAGCTCCAGGGTAACGCCTGCGAAATGTCTTTACCGTTCCTGGCCTTAGTACAGGAAGTGCGGGTGCATGCGGGTATAGACAATGCTTTAGTTCACCATAAACATGACAGCACCACCCCTATTTAGCTAAGTCTGCACCTCAACATGTCTGTCGCAGAATGTGTGTCTTAAAAGTGGGGGGAGGAAAGAACACCGTAATATAATTGACCCCTAATGTTATTCAAATGACAGGTGCTGTAATAAGGAAAGAGTTAAGTTTCTCCCATTTTGTCAAGTCGTACCCCAGCGGCAATGTCTCAGTTCCCACAAGTGACTCCAGAAGCTTCTCCACTGTACTGGATACTCAGCCAAGGGCTGGCCCCACGTCCCCCGTCCCCCCCTCGGCTGCTAACACGCTTGTTTGTGTCGTTCAGACCAAAGTCCCCGTGGCAGATGTTTGCAGCTGTACTGAATATTTACGACTGCCGTGTCGTGTCTGGCAGTGGGGGGGACTGC